CCTCCCACCCACCAACCTCTCACTCACGGCCACAGAGTGGAGAATGTTCCCAACCTCCCACCCATGGCCACGGAGTGGAGAACACCCCCAACCTCCCCCCACCCATGGCTATGGAGCAGAGAACGCCCCCAACCTCCCACCCATGGCCACAGAGCGGAGAATACCCCCAACCTCCTACCCACGGCCACAGAGCAGAGAACGCCCCCAACCTCCCACCCACGGCCACAGAGCTGATAATGCCCCCAACCTCCCACACACTAACCTCTCACCCATGGCCACAGAGTGGAGAATGCTCCCAACCTCCCACACACTAACCTCCCACCCATGGCCATAGAGCGGAGAACGCCCCCAACCTCCCACCTACCAACCTTCCACCCATGGCCACAGAGTGGAGAACGCCCCCAACCTCCCACCCACAGCCATGGAGCAGAGAATGCCCCCAACCTCCTCCCACCCACGGCCACAGAGCGGATAATGCCCCAACCTCCTCCCACCCACAGCCACGGAGCAGAGAACGCCTCCAACCTCCTTCCACCCACAGCCACAGAGCAGAGAACACCTTAAACTCCTCCCACCCACAGCCACAGAATGGAGAATGCTTCCAACCTCCCACCCACAGAGACACAGGTCTTGGGTTGCTTGGTGTAGGACGTACAAAACAGCAGGTCTGATCTAAAATGCTAGAGAAAAGGAAACAGCTAAAAACCAGACAGGTTCCTCTGCACACACGGTCATCTCTGCTTACATTATGTGGTCCACGAGCGGGGAAGATTCTGTCTACTTCCCTGCTTGGTCAACCGGGAAGTCCTCTGAACTGCTCTGAGGCTAAGTCTCTTCCATCTCAGAACAACCAACTTACCCTCAGTGAGCTGTGTGAAGATCCTACCAGACGCTACCTGGAACCACATGGCCCAATCCTCCTGTCAGAGAATACTTCTGTTTTGAGGGTAAATGTCTTTTTTCTCAAGTGCAGACCCTGGACCGGCCACCTGAGCTAACAATGGGCAGCAAAACCTTGATTCTCACTGGCCAGAAAGAGCTACAAGTGATGGAAATTCACACCGTGGGCTCATTTGGGAGGAAATTCATTGCTGCCGTGACTTACTTCCCACGGGAGGCTCAACTCAACAAAAAAGTGTGCCTGCTTTCTCCAAAGTGAGCTGTACCTGCAGCTAAAGGAATCGAACTATGGTACATTCATGAGGTTGATGCAGCTGTGGGAGGTGCTGTCCTGGGTTCTCTGTCAGTCCTTCCCCGAGTGGGGGTCATGAATGTCTACAGAAACAATGGCAAGCAGTGGTAGAAAGTGTGAAGTGAGGGATGAAGTGCCACGGGAATTCAGAGCAAGGAAAATACCTCCAGCCCCAGGACTCACAGGGACCTGGAAGGAGGAGCAGGATTGTGGCACGTGAGGATGGTGGAGGTCCACTTCAGGCTGAGAACAGCGGGAGTCGTTGTACAAGGGCGTAAAGGCGTCCAAGACTCCACAGTGGAGAATGACCCATAGTATCAAACTGTACAAGTTGGGAGGGATGCTTGGGGCGGGATGAGGACACATTCAGAGTGCCATCAATGGAAAACATTCTTGCCAAGTAAAGACAAACCCCTAATTTATCTCCATGTAGCGTTAAAATCTCGTGTAGTGGATACATTGTATTCTGCAGTCACAAAACCTGTCCGCTGTGTAACTCAGCCTTCCCCCAAAGACCAGTGGCCCTGCCACACTGAGCCCAGGAACACGGCCGTGACTGCGCGGGCAAGGCTCCGCTCCTTGTCTAGACAGCGTCCCTCCCTTAGGCTAGGATGCATCACGCACATGCAGAGACTCTTCCCTTTTCCTAACAGGGCTGCTCTAGAGAATAGTGGCTCAAACTGCAGGCCCACTCAGTGACTGGGACAAACAATCCTTGGGGAAAACAACACATCAACTGAAAACAAGGATGCCCACTACCCGATTTCACATATGTTGGTAATTCTGCAACAAAGGGAAAATTCAAATTTCCAATGCCTTTAAACATTTAGGTACAGTATTTGGGATTGAGCATTATAGCTTTTTGTGTTTTAGATACTTTTACATCAAGGGATTAATGGCGATTATTCCTGGGTGGATGGAATTATGGGTTTAATCATGTATTTACTGGCTGATCTGTATTTTCTGATTTTTCTAAAATACTCCTTTATAAAAAAATTCAATCTGTAAGAAATTTAGAACCATTCAGGTTATTTCCCGTATTTGTCTAAACAATCATAAAAATTCAGTTTTAGAATACTTACCAAATCTTGTTAGGCATTTACTGTGGGTCAGGCCCCCTAGAAACACAACAGGGAGCACGACAGGTGGGTTTCTGCTCAGAATGCAGGCTCTGCCTGCTCTTTCCGTACCATTATGACACGTTGTAACTTTTGCAGTGTTTAAGAGAAAACTAAGGTATTCACTGGCCAGCCCTGCTTCAAGGCCTCTGGCTTCCTGGGGCCTAGCTGACCTGCTGCCCGCTGGGGAGGCCCACTTGGACCTCCTGTGTCCAAGTCACCCTTTACTGTCCTACTTTGCTGGTTTTTACTAGGAATATTTTACTCACTCACTGAAAACTCCTCTGTACGCTCAGTGTCTACCTCACTGACTATAAAGATGAGTTCAGTAAGAGTAAAATCTGACTCAGGTTGACATAAGGCTACTTTATGCCTTGGGAGACCCCAGGCCCTGCAGGGACATTGCTGTGTGACTGTGGGGTGTCCCCAGGAGATGCAGGGACATTGCTGTGTGTGACTGTGGGGTGTCCTGGGCCCTGCAGGGACTTTGCTGTGTGTGACTGTGGGGTGTCCCCAGGCCCTGCAGGGACTTTGCTGTGTGTGACTGTGGGGTGTCCCCAGGCCCTGCAGGGACACTGCTGTGTGTGACTGTGGGGTGTTCCCAGGCCCTGCAGGGACACTGCTGTGTGACTGTAGGGTGTCCCCAGGCCCTGCAGGGACACTGCAGTGTGTGACTGTGGGGTGTCCCCAGGAGCTGCAGGGACACTGCTGTGTGTGACTGTGGGGTGTTCCCAGGCCCTGCAGGGACACTGCTGTGTGACTGTGGGGTGTCCCCAGGCCCTGCAGGGACACTGCAGTGTGTGACTGTGGGGTGTCCCCAGGAGCTGCAGGGACACTGCTGTGTGTGACTGTGGGGTGTTCCCAGGCCCTGCAGGGACACTGCTGTGTGACTGTGGGGTGTCCCCAGGCCCTGCAGGGACACTGCTGTGTGTGATTCTGGGGTGTCCCCAGGAGCTGCAGGGACACTGCTGTGATTCTGGGGTGTCCCCAGGAGCTGCAGGGACACTGCTGTGTGAGACTGTGGGGTGTCCCCAGGCCCTGCAGAGACACTGCTGTGACTGTGGGGTGTCCCCTGGAGCTGCGGGGACACTGCTGTGTGTGACTGTGGGGTGTCCCCAGGAGCTGTGGGGACACTGCTCTGTGTGACTGTGGGGTGTCCCCAGGAGCTACGGGGACACTACTGTGTGTGACCGTGGGGTGTCCCCAGGCCCTGCAGGGACACTACTGTGTGTGACCGTGGGGTGTCCCCAGGCCCTGCAGGGACACTGCAGTTGTGACCGTGGGGTGTTGTATCAAGTACAGGATACAGGCTGCTCAAAGCCACGAAGCCCCTCCCCCTAGAGCACCCCTTGCCCCGAGCATCATGGCCTGTGGCTCTGAGCCCCTGTGGCCATATCATGATGTACTTTATCTCTACTCTCTGACACATCGACATTTCTAGCCAGTTTCCAACACTAACCGTTCAGAAAAAGGAAAACTGGCTGAAAGTGAGTTGAGAATAAAGCAAACAAGTGGAAAATGGTAAATGTACAAAAATGATTAAAGATGCTGCCAAGATTCCAAAATAGCACCATGGCCCATGACAGCAATGTCACTTTGGATGTAGTAGAAAATCAAAACAATAAAAATAAGAAAGCAACAAAACGCCTTCTGTAGCTAATGTTTCTGGAGCAATCTCATCCGATGGGACACATGTTCAGAGTCTGTTCTCGGCCACCGTCCGTGGAGGAGTCCCAGCACCCGGAGCGCTGGTGAGGACGTGGCCGCCTGGGAGCTTCCCAAGGTCACCCCCGGGCTAATCATGAGCAACCACCCCTGGGGTCAGAAATTGGGGGACAGTGGGTGGGTAGCATGGGAGACCGGGAGATGACCTGAGTCGTGCTCCACTGCAGCACCTGGGTGAGTGGAGTTTTTATCCTGCCAATTTGTTTGAGGACCGAAGTCTGCAGCTGTGCCCTGGGCTGCTTGCTGTGGGTGAGGCTGTGGGGAGGGCACATGGGGACGCCCCTGTCCTTCCTTTCAGGCGGCCCTGCCCTGGCCAGCGATCGCTGCAGATCAACATGCTTGTGTTAAGGGTTCGAAGAAAGAAAGGAGCACTGAAGATGGTGGCAAGCGGCTAATGAAAACGCAAGCGAGCAAGTGTCCTTCAGCCACAGTTGCTATGCGGGTATCTTCAGGGGGCTGCCTCACACCCTGGAAATGCAGCCTGGAACTGCAATGTCTGCTTCTAGATGCCATCACCGCAGCAGATTCCCGGACCTGCTGACGGCACTTGGCATTCCTCCTACAGATCCTACTGTCTGTGTCCAGGAGGCTGAGCACGTCAAGATGCAGCATTTCTTGCCACAAGGAAACATTTGTGTCCTATGCAATCTTTAAAAAGCCTGACTTCAGGGGTCTGGGCCAACTGCTACTCATGTTACCAAAGTGAAAATGTTTCAGGACAGAGTAAGAGCTCTGAATGCTAGCTATGAAGAATGGTTACTGACAAATGCAGACTAAAGTAAAAAAGAAAGAGAAAGAAAAGAAAAATCCCAACCAAACAAGTGTGCACCAACCACATGCATTTGATTACAAGGCGTCTTCTAAACATAGCTACACATCAGCCATGAAAATGACCCTGTGCTGAGTGCCTGTCACTTAAATGTCACTCTCTGATGGGAGCACTTACTGATCCCGACGAAACCCACCTGCAAGCAAATAGCCAGGTTCACTCTGCAGCCGAAGGAGGTGCTCACGGCCCGCGGGTGGAGACCCAGGTCTTTAAAGAGCTTTGAGAACGACTGGGTGAGTGCTATCCGAGGCCGTTCCTCTGCCACGACCACACATGTCCGCACGCGGGACAAGTCCAGTCCTCGTGCCTAGAAGGAACAACAGCGGTAAGAGGTCAGCCTTCCAGGTCCGGGGTGTGTGACCTTAACCAGACGGACACAAGCAACACAAACTCCACACGGGCATTCACTTCCTGGGCTCTGTCTGTCCACATCATTCGACTGTCCTGGGACGTCTGTGTGGGGGGAAAATCCTACATCAGAGGACCGAGGATGCCATCACAAACCTATCTTAAATAACAGCAAGATGTAGCCGCAAGGAGCACGAGGAGAAGCAAGGTCCTGGATAAAATACTTAACAGGACAGGGTTTGGGGAAGCAAGGTACACCTATAAACATGGATACACAAGAGCACACCCTGGACGGAAAAGAGAAGACCTATTTTTAATATGGAATGGAAAAGTAAAGTGTTTGGACAGTTTCATAAAGATAGCATTCCTCTTAAGTCCCACGAGACTGAAAAGATCCCATTCGTACGACTGTGCTCGACGGAGCTCAGCTTGGGCCTCTGCACAGGGCTGGGGGCAGGAGGCGGGTGGCGAGCGGTGGTCTCCAGCGGAGCAAGAGTGGTGGGAGGACGACCACCAAAGGCTGGCCCACGCAGCCCTCCCGGCCCTGCACCGCAGCCTGGGCTCAGGGCACGGACACAGGCTCCTGCACGGTGCAGGGGACACAGCTTGGGGGCACTCTGGCCCTGGAGGTTCCTGCCCGGATATGATCTCACATATGCGGAGTCACACAGAAAACACTCCAACTGCGTGATCCCAACGCTCGATTTACATATGTGTGTCTTCGGGGAGGCAGTGCGGCCCGGGGCTCGAGATGGTGTACCTGGAGCCGGAGATTCAAAATTTGTCTCCAAAATTTATTAAATGTAAGGACTTGGAAAGGGTGCTCAATTTCTCTGTAACTTAAGATTCCTCATCTTTAACAACAGTGCTTTCTATCTCAGATGCCTATCGTAAAGATTAAATTAATACGTCAAGTGCATAGAAAACAATTATGTTACGATTTGTGAAATGTACTCAGTCACTTTCTAAAATAATATAGGTGGAAATAAGTAATAATTATGCCTTATAAATTTCTTTTCCTATATATATTTATAATTTCAAGCAATTATACACTTGTGTATGTAGCTTAATATCAACATTATCTTGCATTTTGTTTCTTGTTCAAGCTTAATGCATTAGGTCTAAATAGGAAAACAAAATTCAGGAGAAAAATGTAATGCTTTACTATTTGTGTTTAAGTAATTTATGTGCATATGTCTATACACACATACGCAAATATAATCTGTATATACACAAAGACACACATCTGGGCATATAAACAATGGATAGTAGTCGGGATATAAATTGAAATAGGTCGTATGATTATTCCCCCTTCCTTACTTGGATAATGACTACTTCACCATGAAACTATGTCTATCAAAATGTTATTGACTCAAATGGAGGGAAATGCTAATATTCTCGTTAGGATACAGACCTACAAATCAGGGTCTTCAAGGAAAATGAAAATGAGTAGCTAAATTCAAACCTATGGCTTGAAAACCAGCAGAAGAAAAAGCAATTTAGGGCCTTTCAGGCAGACCTAATGGAATCAAAGACATGGGAGGGGGTGTGTGTGCACCCTGACCTATAATTCTTTGGGGCAGTGGGAAATTATTCACCTTATAAAATCAAGTTTTCACTTGAAATCAGTTTTGGGAACTTCAGGGGACAGCGGATTATACCGTGGCTTTTGTGAATGATAATTTTAGCTTCAGTAACCCTTCCCATGCCCTGTGACATGGTGCTTCCCTAGGACGCTTGGGCGTGCTCCCTAAAGCCCTCTGAGGCCTATGACAGGCTGCTTACCTTGAGGGAGTCTGTCTGCGAGCCCAGCCCCTTGGTACAAAGTTCCATCACTGAATAGGAGCAAAACGTATCCCGGACTTTGTACTGACTCACGGCAAGAAGCCACAAGGCAGGGTTGGTTTCCAGCTCAGAAGGCGGGATGAGAATGGACTGGTGCCCTGAGTAGACACTGCAGAGAGAGACGGGAAGGGCTCGTGAGGGTAGGGCCGCAGGACCCATCTGCCACCCGTGCCCAGAAACACCTGCTGCCCATTTGCACGAAGGGGGCACTCACGCCACTGCCCCTCCAGGTGTGCAAATACAAAATGAAAGTGCGTTCACGAAAACATCCTGCAAAGCACGAGAGAACTATAGGACTCTTGATTCAGTGACTGCCTTTTTGAGGGCTCACCTGAAACCTCTAGATGCTATGAGGCAATATATAGGGTTCTCTCAAAGCTGCTACATTCACAAAATGTAGGAAACGCAGGGTGCTTTTATAAAAATGTATGTTTTCTTTGGAGGAATGTCTAATCAAGTCCTTTGTCCATTTTTTTGATGTGATCTCTCTGCCCAACATGGGGCTTGACCTCAGGACCCTGAGATGTTGCTTGCTCAACCGATCCATTTTTTTTTCATTGTTTTTTATTGCATTAATGATGGAGGAATCTTAAACCCCTATAGGTTTTTTTTTTTTTTTTTAAAGATTTTATTTATTTATTCATGAGAGACAGAGAGGCAGAGGGAGAAGCAGGCTCCCAAGGAGCAGAGAGCCCGATGCGGGACTCGATCTCAGGACCCTGGGATCATGACCTGAGCCGAAGACAGACGCTCAACCATCTGAGCCACCCAGGCGCCCCTTAAACCCCTATAGGTTAAAAACTAAAATTCAGAAAGAGTGAAAGTCATCCAGTTGTGAGTAATTTGCTGTTAGCGCCGCACATACGTGTTGTGATGGCACATCGTAATGCTGCACTGCTTTTTCTTTTGCTTAATTGCTTAATGTATAAGCCAGGAAGGTTAATCAATCTGATCACCTTTGAAGGAATAGCAGAAGTAGTAGAAGAAAATGTTGTATGCCAGTTGCTATTTATGCACACGCTGTATGAAATACACTCAAGCATCTCAAAGCACACCTTAAACTGTTCTGGAAAATAGTCTACTTAAAAAAAGAAAAACATGGCTGACTAGGAGGAAAAAGAAGACATTTTGGTAACATAAAATTTCACAACTGTCGTTTGGTGATTTCAGCTTACTAACCTGAGAAAACATACAAACCCTCAGAACTTGGGCACTCGGAGCAAGGCAGACGCATGGCTCCCTATAACACACGTACCCTGTGGTGGGCGGGTTACTGTCTGCCCTGTGTGCCTCAGTTACCCCGATGACAGACTGTTTGATTTTTTAAAAGTTTTATTTAGGTATAACGTGCATACCATAAAATCACCCCATGAAAGGATTTTTACTAAATTTGCAGAGTTGTATCATTATCACCCCAGTGCAGTTCTAGAACATTTCCAACCCATCTGTGGTCCATCGTGCTTCGACCCCAGCCCCAATCAACCACTACTCTACTTTCTGTCTCTGCAGAGTTGCCTTTCCCAGACATTTCATATAAATGGCGTCATACGATACAATCACGGAATATGTGGTCTTTTGCATCTGGCTCCTTTCTCTCCGTGAGCTGTTTCTGAAGTTTATCCGCACTGCAGCTGTATTGCGTTGTATGGATATGAACAAACACTGTTCATCCTGGTCGACCTGTGGATTTGTCTTTTTCTTGCTTGCTTGCTTTTACGAAGGCTGCTAGGGACATTTCACACATCAAGGCTTCCAGTGATTTCCCTTTGCTTTGGCAGATGCTTTGGCTGATGCCTATGAGCAGAACTGCTGGGTCAGACTGTGAATTTATGTTTAATTTTTAAGAACGCGCCCAACCGTGGTTTCACCATTTCACATTCCCGTCAACAATGTCGGAGAATTCCAGTTTCTGCACATCCTTGGTTGCTGTTGCTTTGCGGTACAGTTTTGAAACCAGAAAATACAAGTCCCCCAACCTTGTTACTTTCTGGGGTTTGTGGCTATATGTGGTCCAGTGGGTATGAAGTGTTATCTCACTGGTTTTAATTTGCATTTCCCTAAACAATGTTAAGCATCTTTTCATGTGCTTATAAGTCATTTGTGTATTTTTGGTGAAATGTCTATTCAAACCTGTTGCCTATTTTTAAATCATGTTGTGTGTCTTCTTCTTGAGTTTTGAGAATTCGTTTTATATTTGGTTGGAGGGACTCTATCAGGTTACGATTTGCACATATTTTCCCCCAGTCTGTGGCTTTTATTTCCAACTTTCTTAATAGTGTTGCTTGATGTGCCCACATTTTTAGTTTTATTGAGGCCACATCTGTCAATATTTCTTTTATGTATTGTACCTCTGGTACCATATCTAAGAACTCTGCCTAGCTCAAGATTATAAAGACTGATTCCTCTGTCTCCTTCTACAAGTCTTATTTCCTACATTAATGTCTGCAACCTAATGTGAATTTATTTACACGATGTAACGTAAAAGTTTAATCTTTTTGCAGATGAACAGCCAACATTCCCAAGCATCATTCATTGAAAATACTACCCTTTCATCATTGAGCTGCCGTGGTTCCTTTGTTGAGAAATGAAGTGACCACATGTAAGAGGTCACCAGTTTCCGGACTCCCAATTCTGTTTCACTGGCTCTTTTTTCTGCATCTACCTTCCTACTACCTTTACGTCAGCCCAGCCCTGGCCTGGTTATTGCATAAATGTTGAAATTGGGAAGTCTGAGTTTTCCAACTTTGTCATATTACTCCAAAATTGTTTTGGATATTGTGTGTGTTTTTTTTAATTTTAGGATAAAGTTGTCCATTTCTGCTTAAAAAAAAAAACAACAAAACCCTGCTGAGATTTTGACAGGAACTACGTCAAATCTCTAGATCTATTTGCAGAGAATTTCCATTTTAATAATATTGAAACTTCTAACCCATGAACATCAATGATTGGAAATGCATTTTAAGACATATTTGATCTTTTTTTTTTTTTTTAAAGATTTTATTTACTTGACAGAGAGAGATACAGCGAGAGAGGGAACACAAGCAGGGGGAGTGGGAGAGGGAGAAGCAGGCCTCCTGCAGAGCAGGGAGCCCGATGTGGGGCTCGATCCCAGGACCCTGGGATCATGACCTGAGCTGAAGGCAGACGCTTAACGACTGAGCCACCCAGGCGCCCCGACATATTTGATCTTAAGACTATTTTGAAACAATTCTGTTAATACCATGATTCTCAGAGAAATAATACTCTATTTTATGACTGAAGGGAACTTTAGGATGAAGACACAGAAGTTGTATTAAAGTTTTTCGAAATGTTGAAACCATTGTAAAGTTACAGAAAAGTTTTAAGTAGAAATAACTTTTTCCCCTCTTGAATCACTTGAGGATGGGTCACTGACCTGATGATGCCCCACTAACCCAAAATATATCAGCAGATATTTCCAGGAAGCAAGTTTATTTTTCTCCATATGGCCAGCTAAGACATCAAAATCAGGAAACATACATTTCTTCCACTGAAGCCTCGGACCCTCTTCACGTTTGCCTGTGGTCCTGACGGTGACTTTTACAGAGAAAGGAGACCATTGGGAGACACATGCACAGATGCCATCAGCCTGCCCGCTGGGTCCTCAGGGCTTGTGTGACTCTGTGATCCTGGTGTTCGTGGCCATAGACAGCAGCTACGGGCATCCCTCAGTCTGGGTCTGATGCTCCCTGGACTCAGTGGTTCAGGGAAGGGTCTTTGTCAGGAAGACCCTGGACGTGATGCTGCTTCCTTTGTTGCAACTCTCTGGGTGACGCACAACAGCCCCGTGTCCCTGCCGTGAAGGTTCTCTCCTCCCCTTTATAACGAACAACTATTTTCTAGCTGTCTACTCTATCAATCAAGCTTTCAATTTGTCCGTCTGTCTGAATAGTGAGATTTTTTTCTATTTTATCCAGTCTTACCTATCATAATCTTTATTTTGATGCTGAAGTCCCCCCAATTTGACCAGTGGGAGCCCCTCCAAAGGACATGTCACCCTCCTACCATGCGCGCTTTCTCGCACGAAAAGACATTCAGGTTCACCTTGTGCATTTCCTGTACCAGCCCTGAAATCGGCCATTTCTTGAGTGAACACTAGCTCATCTGAGAGACTACTGGTATCCACAGTACTGACAGGTGCTGGGCGTTCTCAGCACTCCTGGGTAGATGCTCCCAGGTCCAGTTTTTAAGCAAGTTTGTCTGGATCTGTTTCTACAGAGGGCTTCAGAAGGAAGAAGTTTATAGTTCTTATGTGTTTATTTCAGCATTGCAGAGGCAATCTACAAAACACTGTAATTTCAGGACTTCGGAACGAATTTGCAGGAAGGATGCTCATTAGAGTTTCCTTAGAGCCCCTTTCAAGAGCCCCACCGTGTTCCTGCTGCTACTGGTGCACATCAAACACTGACTTTCCCGCCGACAGGCAGCCTCTCTGGTGATGTCACGAGGGTTAGGCCCGGCGAGCCCCAGGACGGGAAAGCATCCCATCCACTGGCTTTGGCTCGACTGGTGTCCTTGCCAAGGGACACACAGTCTCCTCCACACACAGCTGGTGGTTCAGGACAGGCTTCCTTCTCAGTTGGCCAAGGGTCACTTGGTCCCTCTGCTGGAATGCCATATTCTAAACTATTTCCCGAGAAAAAAATTTACCCGCGATACTACTGCATTTTACAGTGAGGTAAAAATCATTAAATATTTTAATTGAATTTGCTCTCTCAAAAACTTTAATTGTTCTAATTAGAATGAATTGCAAAAACTCCTTTTTTTCCAAAAGAAATTTTTTTTCAAAAATACAGGACTGGATGGATTTTAATTCCACTATTAAATATTAGGAATGCCTTAGAAGAATTGTTTTCCGAAGTGTATTTAAAGACGCGAGAGAAGACATTACAGACTATTCAGAAGAAAGGAAATCATAACTTTCAAATGGTAGCATCGCAGTTTTATACCTATATTAAGGCACAGTCACAAAACCGTATGCATACTTAATGGTTTATGGTTAAATCACGTTGTTTGGTGATTCCTAAAATGCCGAATGGAACACAGGGGCAGAAAAAACTAGAAGGAGAGATGAAACAACCATCCAAACGCGGTCTGTGGGGTGCTGGATGGTGGGCACGGTGTGCACTATGTCATTCTCCATACACTTACAGAAGCTTGAAGTGTTAACAACAAATAGTATGCTACCTTCCAAACCAAACTCTGGAAGACTATATGCAAAATGCTAATGGTGAGTATTTCCTGGTGTCATGAGGTGGTATGGTCACTGAGGTCTTCACGTTCTTCATGCTATTTCGTACTCCCTAAAGTTTTTACAGTGAACACGTATGTATAGTCCGAAGAAATGCTAATACATCTCCATGTGTTCACCGTCTCTGCAGACCCTTGCCGAGCCTGCTACCGGCCGGCACTGGGGGCGCTAGGGCTGCGGGGCTGGACTGTGGTGGGGTGGGTGGGGTTCTCACGGGGAGCTCCCCGCCTTCCTGCAGCTGACGTTCCTCCCACCCACGAGGGAGAGGCCTGAAGCAGGAGGGAGCCTGAAGTGCCCACCGATTTAATACACATTCCAGGGTGGATAATGGTTAGGATTTAAAGGCAAAGAACCAAAGGCTCAGCCTGGCGTCCTCACTTGGAAACAGGGGTCCCCACCGGGCAGCCTCCCAGAATGAGACCAGAGTCTCTGGTCTCTGCGGGGCTCAGCAAATGCTGAAGAGCGTGGATAGCACCGCGATGTGCCTGCTCTTCCTGGATCGCGGGGCTGAGGAGGGATGGGACAGCGACCCATCTGTGACTCCACCGCGGCTGGCCCCTTGGGAGGTGGCAGTGCCCCCCCCCCGACACTGGCATCTCCTCTGCAAATGGTCTAGAAAGGGGGTGCATGACTGATTTGGTCATCATTGCAAAGATGTTCAAGAGGATACTTACCTACAGAGGCACCACAGGACAAACCCAAGTCCACAGTAAGGGTCCAAGCAGATGGCCACTTCTCGAGAAGGGTAGAGCTCACACTGCAGCTTAATGGAACGGCAGAAGGCACTGGTGGCTGCATGGGACATCTGTAAGACAGCAAGGCCACCCTTAGTCCATGCAGCCTGGCCTCCAGCGCCCCAAGGGGACTGCAGGAAGGGGGCTACTGGGCTACGGTTCCTGTCAGTGCTCCCATTTTCAACGACTAAACCACATGCAGCACTTCCTGGGCCTCCAGACCTAGGAATCCTGCAGCTGAAGTAACCGTGTCCTGCAATGCCACCATGCTGTGAAGAAGGTGGGGACACCCTAGGGCTCGGGGCCCCTCTCCAGGTCGGGACTGCGTCTGACTTACACGTGCCTGTCATGCGATAGGGCCAGTGGGGCACGGTGGACGGACATCCCATCCCGTGTCAGTGATCAGGAAACCAGGCTCAGAGGAGGCGGTTTGCTGACGGTCACATGCCCCAGGAACCCCGCTCCCCGCACGACAGAGGTGACAGAAGGGGGGCACCCACAGCCAGAATCTAACGTGAGTGACTGTAAAATACTGTAAAACGTATCTAATACAAATCAGTTTTCTCACAGAAGCTCTCTAGCCAAGCCAACCTGAGAGGGAAAGGAAAATTTTCCGAGTTTGTGGTTTTAAACATGTCTTCCGTGCATCTGAAGCCGATGGCCCTGGAGCTGAGCTGTGGGAGGGGCGGGAGCGAGCACCCTCACATGCAGGCAGACCCCGCCAAATGTCTGGGGAAAGCACCGTTAGCCACCCCAGCAACGGAGGAGAGAAGCCGGGAGTGGGGGACGCTTGTGTCGTGAACGTGGGAGCACCGTTAGACGCTCTGGTGGCAGGTTTCACTGTGGGTACTTCACGGAATTCACAAAAGGTAATACAGAATTACCCCAGAATCGAACACACAAGCGGTTCCTTTTAATTTGCTGCAAAGCCACAATATTTGCTTAAAGAAGAAACAACGCTGGATTTATGAAACATTCCTTCAACCTCCTGCCTGCTGGATGGGGAGTTAGTAAAATCCTAACTATCAAAATTACCAAGATTCTCACTAAAATGAACCTTTCCTGAACCCCTAGTTCTGTGCAGGTACTGTTTTTAGCAGGAACAGAGTTCTTCAGCTCAGCTCAGCAAATATTCATTATATTAACTGAGGACATGCTATGTATCAGGCTTTGTATTAGGTGCTCTGAATATAAAAAAAAATAAAACACAGCCTCCAACCCCAGGAGCGTGTGAGCCAGTGGGAAATTGAGAGAGAACTCTGTTAACTGCGGGGCCCATGAGCATTTTAACAACATATGTGGAGAGCAGAGAATGGGTTCTCCCATCGCCCTGGGGCTCATAGAGGGCTCTGGGTCTTGAGGGTGAGTAAGCATGAACAAATCTCATCAAAGTGACAAGAACACAGACAGATTAAGAAAAAAGCAACCAGGAAAGCTGAACATCTCATGTCCAAGCTCACAGCAATCTTGGACCCTATCAACATCACAGACCCATAGCCCAAGTTGGAAGAAAAATGCCCAATTCTTATGAAGACAGACTTGTACCTGGATAAGGAATTAGTTTTCCATAAGCCCCAAACAACAAGCTCTCATGCTCTACTCTGGAAGAGACACTGAGAGCAGATGTAGTCAGTTAGAGGACTCAGGGATGAGGGCACCTGCATTTATTTTTAGGATGCACCTTAGGACTTTTCTTGGGAAGGGTTACTTTCGAGTGCAGTATGACTTTGGTTGATGATGAACTAAGTGTCCACGGTCTGGGCGAACATCAGTGGCACACCCCACCTGAGAGTGAGCACCCTCGGTGGAAGGGAGAGCCACCACAGTTCTAAAACATCCTGTGTGGAGGCCCAGAGGGCAATTGATCTGAAGGAAACAGCAGATGCTATATGGGTCCCCCACATGACGTCCTCGTGGACATCGAGCAAATTGTATCCAGGAGCTACCAGGAACTGTCAGAGTTCAAATTACACTTTTGAAGAGTTAGTATTATAAAACTTAAATTGAACATAAAACACATACTCATGGGTCTTACACTAAATCAGACATTACACAGTGCCCATTATGGAGAAAACAGTTTACTGGGTAAACTTCTTTCTCTCAACTTTTGGTATTTCACAGAAGGCTTAATGACATTTCTGTCCAAAGGCTGAAAGTGTATTAACATTTCCAAGAAACATGGTGACAAGTGCAACCAAAGAGGTAGAAGGAATTTCCATCAGGACAGACTATAAACCAGATGATTTCAGCTCTGTTTGTGCCTCTCAGTACTTAAGGCATATGGGTTTTCATTAAATGACATCACAATAGGTTTCATCTCAGGTACTCATCAAATTAAATGTCAGAAGTTTAATAAAAACTTCCATAAATTCGAGGGGCACGTGGGTGGCTCAGTCGGTTAAACGGCCGACTCTTGGTTTCAGGTCAAGTCATGATCTCAGGGTCATGAGATCGAGCCCCACATAGGGATCCATGCTCAGCCCGGAGTCTGCTTGAGATTCTCTTTCTCTCCCTCTGCCCCTCCCCACCCCCCTTGCACGCACTCTCTCGCTCTCTAAAATAAATAAATCTTTAAAAAAGAAATATTTCATAAGTTTGAGAGAAAGTCTAGTTACTCCTCTCTCTGGGATTCCTAGGGTTTATACTTATATTAAGTGGAATCACCACGAAGTAATAGCATAGATCGCTTTATCTCTGTTTCAAGCAGAAGTATCTTTATCGAATCAAGATGTAACATTATAGCCTCCACCTCTGTAGACCATGAAAACGGTAAGATCCAAGTGTGTGTTTCCCTTTGGCTACAACTGGAGGGGGCTCCAGGCCACCTTCAGCACTGTGGTAAATCACTTATCCTGGTCTGAAAAGAAATCTGTACTCCAAAAGGCTTTTGAAGGGGCACCTGGGTGGCACAGTCAGTTAAGTGACAGACTCTTGATTTCGGCTCAGGTCATGATCTCAGGGTCGTGAGATCAAGCCCCAGGTTGAGCTCTGCTCAGTGTGGAGCCTCCTTGAGATTGTCTCTCCCCCCTCCCTGCTGGTGCATGCTCTCTCTCTCTCTCAAACAAGTAAGTCTTCAAAAGGCTTTTGAAGAATTATTTTATTTTATATTCCACTTTATTTGGTGGATCAGATTCTACTGGAAAGCAGAGGAGAGGATTCTGGGAAGATGGTCTCCATAGCAACCAGACAACAATTGTGTGGGCAGAAAAATGATGCAACTATTTGGAGCTCTGGAGTCTGTTAAGGTTTTTAACTTCCAGAGGAAGGCTTGGGCAATGGCAATTAATTTTGGAAAAATTAAGACATTCCCATTAAAGAAAAAGTTGTGGGCACTCATGACATTTAGATCTGCCATGAAAGGCTCAAGGGAGTCCTACAGGTTGAAACAGAAAGACACTAGATGCAACCTGAAGTCACTGAATAAATTAAGATCTCAGTAAAGGTAAATACAAGGCAATTATAAAAGCTAGTGTAATCCTGGGGCACTTGGGTAGCTCAGCTGGGTAAGTGTCTGACTCCTGATTTCAGCTCAGGTCATGATCTCAGGGTCGTGAGACTGAGCCCCGTGCTGGGCTCCACGCTCAGCAGGGAGTCAGCCTGAGATTCTCTCCCTCTGCCCTTCCCCTCACTTGCTCTCTCTCCTCCCACCTCTAAAATAAATGAACAAGTCTTAAAAAAGCTAGTATAATCATAGCAATACTTTATAACTCTACCCTTCCTTTTCTACGTGATTTAAGAGAATAATATGGTAAAACAAAACAATTATCAGTCAAACTGTTACTGTAACTTTGGGTTTAAATTCCACTTTTTTCCCCTACATAACTTAAGAGACCAATGCATTTAAAAGAATTATTACTACATATTTTGGGCCACACAGTGTATAAAGATATAACTTTGTGAATCAGCAACTGAGAGAGGTAGAGATGGAGCAGTTTTTTTGTGTCCCTGAAATTAAGTAGGGATAATCCAAACTGGAGAATTACAACTGTAGGCTGCCCAACCCAATCCCCATGGTCACCTCAAAAACAAAACCTGTAGAATATATATGAAAGGAAATGAGAAAGGAATTTGAATGTTTCACTACAAAAAATCAACTAAGCACAAAACAAGATAGTAATGCAGGAAATGAGTAACAGGAAGGTTGTAAGACATATGGAAAATAATGAGCAAGATGACAGAAGTCCCTTCTTTTAAAAAAAAAAAAAATTTGAGAGAGAGCGAGAGTGCGAGTAAGGGGAGGGGCAGAGGGAGAGTGCTGAGCTGAGTGGGGAGCTCAACACAGGGCTAGATTTCACGACTCTGAGATCATGACCTGAGCCAAAATAAAGAGTCAGACACTTAATCGACTGCACCACCCAGGTACCCCACAGAAGTCCCTTCTTACCAGTAATTAGTGTAATGTAAACAGATTAATTCTCCAAAGACAGAAATTGGCAGAGTGAATAAAATACATAAAATACCATATGGTGCCTATAAGAGACTCATTTTATTTATTTTTTATTTATTTTTTAGAAAGATTTATTTATTTGAGAGAGTGAGAGAGAGAGCAAGAGAGAGAAAGAGAGAGCAAGCATGCAGGGGTGGGGGGCAGAGGGAGAGGGAGACAGAAACTCCAAGCAGACTTTGTGTTCTGTGTGGAGCCCGACACGGGGCTTGATCTCATGACCCTGAGACCACGACCCCAGCTAAAACCAAGAGTTGGATTCCCAGCCAACTGTGCCACCCAGGCGCCCCCAAGAGATTCATTTTAGATCAAAAGACACAAGTAATTTGAAAGTGAAAGAATGGATAAAGACATTCCATGCAAACAGTAACCAAAAGAGAGCAGAGATAGCTAAACTAGTATCAGACATATAGACTTCCAAAAAGGTTGTAAGAGACAGAGAGGGGCATTACATATTAATAAAGGGTTCGGTACAGCAAGAAGATTTAACAATTATAAACAACTACACACCAGACAACAGACTATCAAAACAGATGAATCAAAAATGGACAAAACTAAAAGGAGAAATTGACGTTTCTTCAGTGACAGAGGCTTCAATACCCTACTCTCGATAATAGTCAGAACAACCAAAAAGAAGACACATTAAAAAAAAAAAAAAAAGAGGGGCGCCTGGGTGGCGCAGTCGTTAAGTGTCTGCCTTTGGCTCAGGTCATGATCCCAGGGTCCTGGGACTGAGCCCTGCATCAGGCTCCCTGCTCCGTGGGGAGTCTGCTTCTCCCTCTCCACTCCCCCTGCTTGTGTTCCCTCTCTCGCTGTGTCTCTCTCTGTCAAATAAATAAATAAAAATCTTAAAAAAAAAAAAGAAAATAGGAGACTGAACACAATAAACCAAAGAGATCTGAGGGACACAGAGAACACTCAACCACAGTGGAATACACACTCTTCTCAAGAACACTTGGGTCATATTCCAGGATAGACCATATTTTAGGCCACAAATTAAGTCTCAATAGATTTAAAAAGATAGATACCATATGAAGTATCTTCTCCAACCACAACAGGATGAAGTTAGGAATTGGTAACAGAAGGAAAACTGGAAAACCCACAATTAAAAAAATGCACTCTTAAATAACCACAAGGAAAATTATAAAATACTTAGACACAAATGCAAATGAAAATACAATATACCAAAGCTTACAGGACACAGCAAAAGCAATGTTAATGCAGAAATTTATATAAACAGGTTAAAAACAAGACAGATCTCACATCAACAACCTAACTTCACAACTTAAGGAATGAGAGACAGAAGAACAGACTAAACCCAAAGCTAGCAAAAGGAAGGAAATAATAAAGATTAGAACGGAGGTAAGAAAATAGAGAGTGGAGAAGTAGTAGAGATAATCAATAAAAGCAAAAGTTGGTTCTTTGAAATAATCAACAAAACAGACAAACCTTTAGCTAGATGGACTAAGAAAAAAGGAAGAAACACTCAAATTACTAAAATCTGAAATGAAAGTTGGGACATTTACTATAGATTCTACAGAAATGAAATTAATTATAAGAGAGTACTATGAACAACTGTACACCAACACACTGTACAACCAATATGAAATGGAGAAATTGCAGTTCATGGAAACTGAAACACAAATTATCAAGAAGGAACACAAAACTTAAAAAGACTAAATCATGAAGAATAAAAAGTCTGAATAAACTTACAAACAGTAAGATCAAATCAGTAAAGAAGATTTCCCAACAAAGAAAAGCCCTACACCCGATGACTTCACTGCTAAAATGAATGAAACATTTAAAGATAAACTAATACCAGAGCACCTGGGTGGCTCAGACGGTTGAGCATCTGACTCTTGATTTCAGCTCAGGTCATGATCTCAGGGTTGTGAGATCAAGCCCCAAGTCAGGCTCCATCCTCAGTGGGGAGTCTGCTTGGGATTCTCTTTCTCCCTCTTCCTCTGCCCTTCCCCCCAATATGCACACATACTCTCTCTCTAAAATAAATAAAATTTTTTTTTAAAGATGAACTAATACCAGTCCTTCTCAAACTTTTCCAAAAAACTGAAGAGAAAGGAACACTTCTTAATTTATTCTGTGAGGTCAGCATAACCCTGATACCAAAGTCAAAGACACTATAAAAACAGAAGACTATAGATCAATATCCCTGCTGAACATTGATGCAAAAATCCTCAACAAAGTACTAACCCAATTTGGTAGCATATTAAAAGGCTTATATGTCAGTGGGATTTATTCCTGGAAGGCAATGTTGGCTCTACATATGAAAAATCAATCAATAGGGGAACCTGGCTGGCTCAGTTGGAGAAGCATGTGACTCCTGAACTCAGGGTTGTGAGTTTGAGCCCCATATTGGGTGTAAAGATAACTTAAATTAAAAAAATCAATCAATATATCACATTAAAAGAATGAGGGGGAAAAAACCCATATGACATCTCAATTGATGTAAAAAAAAAAAAGCATCTGATAAAATTCAACAACCTTTTATGATAAAAACACTGAATAGACTAGGAATAGAAAAAAAGGGCCTCAACATAATAAAAGCCATATATGAAGAACACAGAGAACATCATACTCAGCCATGAAAAACTCAAAGCTTTACCTCTACAATCAGGAACAAGGCACCCTTTCTAGTCAACACTGTACTAGAAGTTCTAGCCCAAGCAATTAGGTAAGAAAAATAAATACAAGGCACACAGATTGGAAAGATAGAAGTAAAATAATCTCTGTTCATAGATAAAATGAACTTATATATATCGAAAACACAAATATTTCACACAAAAATTATTAAAAATCATAAATTCACAGTAGCAGGATAAGAAGTCAGCAAGCAAAAATCACTTGCATTTCTATACATTAAATGAAAAATCTGAAGAGGAAATTAAAACAAGTCTATTTACAATAGCATCAAAGCATAAAATGCTTAGGAATTAACTCAACCAAGGAGGTGAAAGACTTGTACAATGAAAACTATAAAATTTGCCAAAGAAATTGAAGACATAAATAAAAAAAACATATACCATATTCATAGACATCAATACTACCCTAAACAATACAGACTCAATGCAGTCTCTGGGTGTTATTTGCAACTAATGAATCATTGAACATTATACTAAAAACTAATGATGTACTATACATTGGCTAATTGAATTTAAATAAAAAAATTTCAATGGTATTTTTTGTAGAAGTAGAAAATGCATCAAAAACTTCAAACAGAATCTCAAGGAAATCTGAAAAGCCAAGACAATCTTGAAAAGAAATAGAGGACTCACACTTCCTGATTTACTACAAATATACAGTAGTCAAAACAGTGCAGTACTGGCATAAAAACAGATGCATAGATTAATAGAAGAAAATACAGAGCCCAGAACAAAAAAATAATCCTTGCATTTATGGCCAACTGATTTTTGACAAGGGTGCCAAGAGGGAAGAGACAGTCTTCTCAACAAATGGTGCTGAGAAAATTGGGTCTCTGCATGCAAAAGAATGAGGTTGGACCTTTACCTAAAACCACAGAGAAAAATTAACAATTGGGTCAAAGACAGAAATGTAAGACCTAAGATAATACAATTCTTGGAAGAAAACATAATACAAAGCTTTATGACACCGTAATTAGGCAATGATTTCTTAGATATGACCAAAGGCATAGGCCAAAAAAAAAAAAGGACAAAATTGGACTGTATGAAAATTTAAAAATTTTGTGCATCAAAAGACACTATCTACAGAATAAGAAGGCAATCCACAGAATAGGAGAAAATTCAGGGTTTAATATCCAGAATATACAGAGAATTTGTAAGACTCAACAACAACAACAAAAAACAAGAAACTTGATTCAAAGGATTTGGATAGATATTTCTCCAAAGAAGATGTACAAATGGCCATTAATTGCATGAAAAGATGCTTAACATCACTAATCATTAGGAAAGTACAAATCAAAAAACCACAATGAGATACCACTGGCACACTCATTAGAATGGCTACTATTGAAACAACAACAACAAAAAACCAGAAAACTCTAAGAGCTGACAAGGATGAGGGAAGGTGAAATGGTATGGCCACCATGGAAAACAGCATGGCAATTCCCTCCCGGGATTAAAAATGGAATGGCCATATGACCCCAAATTCCACTTCTTGGCATATACCCAGAAGACGTGAAAGCAGTGTGTTAAGAGAGGCTTGCACATCTTTGTTCACAGCAGCATCGCTTACAAGAGCTAACCCTTGGAAGCAGCCCTACTGTTTGCTGACAGATGAACACAAAGGCCAAACGTCAATGAAATGTTAACTTAGCCTTAAAAAGGAATTCTGAGCCCCTTGACAACATGGATGAACCCCGGGACATTACAGTACGTTTAACGAGCCAGTCACAAAAGGACAGCGCTGCAGGACTCCACCTCTATGGGGTCCCCAGAGTTGTCAAAATCCCAGAGACAGAAGGGAGATGGTGGGTGCTGGTGGAGGGGATGGGGGCTCTTGATTAACAGGTAGTAAGTTTCAGTTTCACATGACACGGTGAGTTATGGGGGCGGATGGTAGGGACAGCTCCACAACAGTGTGAGTGTTTTTAATGCTCCTGAACCGTATACTTAGGTCGGTTATTAAGGTGAATTTATGTTAAGTGTATTTAACAATTAAAAAAATTGAAAAAAAAAAAAAAGTAGAGAAAGAGAACTGAGGTAAATGACACAAACAGAGGGGTCAGACCCCGAGGGCGGGCCAAGGGCTTCCTGAGGCTACAGAGGACGTACCAGTCCCTTGACAGGGACATTGCCCGAGCCCTGAGGGTCCTCACGAGGTGAAGCACACAGCATGGCGCACCCCTGAATGACACGGGATTGTGAGTGCCGGTCCCCTTGCACACTGGTTTTTTATAGGGCAGGACTGTAAACATTTCTTCTCTCCCTCGTGACTTTCTCAACAGGATTTTCTTTTCTCCAGCTTACTTTACTGTGAGAATGCAGTATGTAATACATAGAACACACAAAATAGGTGTTAATGGATTGTTTATGTCACTGGTAAGATTTCCAGGAGGCTGTAAGTAGCTAAGTTTTGGGGGACTCAAAAGTCATACGCAGATTTTCGACTGCACAGGGGTGGGGGTGCTAACCACCCATGAACAAGGGTCAGTGGTCAGCCAGCCAGGATGGAACCCAAGCTAAAAAGGGAAGAAACCCCAGTGCACCGAGTTTTATAACAGACCACTGGGATTTGAGAACCAGCAAGACATGCAAGAAGAAAGACATGCAACTCTTTACTAGGGGCTAATGAGGCTGTGTTTACATACAAAAAAAACAGCTGGACTGTGTGGAAAGAATCGGCCAGCCTAGGTCACCATGGAAATGGTCACGCATCTTACAGTCTCAGGAAGGGCAGGGACGCACCCCTCCCACGTGCCCCTTCAAGTGCCTGCTAGAGTCCCACTCTACAGAAGAACGTCAAGGGACAGCCCCGTGTGGCTCGTAACCGCACACCGTGCAGACCATGTTTCTCACCTTCACTCCAGCAAGCATCCCGGTCGTGGACACGCTGAAGTCGAGATAAGCTAGCGTGTCTGGGTTGGAAGGTTTGTAGATCTGGGCGGGCCGCTTCTTTGGCAAATCATCTGGAGCAAAACAAAGCCGTTAGCGTATCTGACCCAGTGGGAAAGCAGAGGCACAAAAGAACGTCTCTGGCAGGTTCGAGGACTGACCTGTGTCCAGGATGGGGGGCCACGCCCTGACGTCTACGGCCGCAGCTGCCTCCCTGGACCGTAACAACTTACAGATGAGCTGTGTTGTCATCAAACAGGCAGAACGACTCACCTGCCGGTCAGAGAACACGCCGCTCACTACGCAGCACCCCGAGGCCATTGGCCCTCACAGCCCGCGGAGCCGGTGTCAGCCACCAGAGGCAGGACAGAGCCAGGAACTGACCACAGCACACAGAGCTCACGGACACTGTGGTCCCTGGCATTTCTGGAGCTGAGGGACACCCATGACGCACATGCTCAGAAAGGAGCACCCCAACCACCGTGCTCACGGTTAGCTCTGTCCTATAAAAGCTGCCCCGGGTACCCACTTACATGATCGCTACCTCCTAAAGGGAGTAACGGCCTCGGCCATCTTCCAACATCACCACTGAAAGAATTTGCATGTGCTGTCCCCAGACTAAGCTGTCCCTCCGCCAAGGGGAAAAACTTCTCCTAATCCTTCTAAACTTCCCCAAGCATAAGAACAATTAAAATAAATCCATGCTTTAAAAAAGGAATGGGACATTTCTAAACCTTGAGCAAAGAAATTAAAAAGAATATATGACTTTTGGGGCACCTGGCCAGCTCAGTGAGAGGAGTGTGTGACTCTTGATCTCGGGGCCATGAGCTTGAGCCCCACATTGGTTATTTAAATAAATAAACATTAAAAACATTACATGACTTTCTCATCAGTCTGGCGCAGAAGCTCCCACTGTCTGTCCAGGTGCCGTGGGCGAGGAGCTACTTTCTCCAGGGCTCCCTAATCCCCGTGCACCCACAACGCCATCCCCAGCCCACACCGGAGCGGAAACCCTACTTCCAGAACTGGAGGCTAGAGGCCACACCTGCCCCACCGGCCTGGAGCCAGCCCCACCCTGGGCCCTGGGATCTAGGAGCCCCGGCACTCCCAGGCAGGGTTACCTCCACGATCATCTTCACGGTCGGCAGCGTTGTTGCGATGTTCTGTGGGTGTGGGGGGCGGACGGTTATTGGCACACAGCCTGCGTACAGGCAGCCGTAAAACGCAGCGATGAGGTCTATTCCTAGATGGGAGAGGAGCAAAGTTCTCAGTCGACACAGTCAATCGCCATCAGCAGAGGTTCTAGCCCGGGCACGAGACCACTGCCGATTGTCCTCCGCCCGCAAGCTTTGCTAGGCTTTGGCCGTAACTTCCTGTTGGCCTGTTCCTTTAGGTACGAGGTGCCAAAGCAGCCCACAAGTTTAATTTCTGTCATTTCTCTAAGCAATTACTCAACTCTACGATGATCAGTTTAGTGAAGGGTTTAACGACTATCGATTCAATGAGCTACCTCAATACGTAAGGAGACAGATACAGATGTCTGCGAAATTTCGTCTTATTTATGCCCTCGAGTTGCACAGCACGCACCACCGTCCCCACAAGAGGCTGCAAGCAGCTGTGGCAAGCAACACAGAAGGCAGGGCCAGCAGTCAGCCGGCGCCCGTCCCGCCAGCTCTGGAGCCGGCCCCGTCCTTCACCTGGCGGGTAGACGAGAGCCACGTGGTCCCCATCCTGCAGGTGTCCTCTCTCCATGAGCATCACGGCGATCTTCTCGGCACGTTTATGCAGCTGCACACACGTTAGCGAGCTTGCTATCGTACCCTGGGGATTGCAAGGACAAGTGGGTGAGGTGTTTTTGAACAGAACAGCTTTATCGAGACGGACTGCAGGTACCAGCCAGTTCCCTTATTTGAAATGCACACTTACGTGGATATTAGTGTGTCTGCACACCTGTCAGTTTTAGCACACTGGCCACCCCCCAGAAGACCCTGTGCCATTAGGGGTCACTTCCCTCTCCCCCCACTGGCCAAGAAGCGCAGCACCGAAGAAGCATCTAGATACTGTGTTAACAAGAAATATTTTATTTTTTTAAAAGACTTTATTTATTTGTCAGAGAGAGAGAGAGCACAAGCAGGGGGAGCGGCAGAGGGAGAAGCCGACTCTTTGCTGAGCAGGGAGCCCCATGTTGGACTTGATCTCAGGACCCTGAGATCATGACCTGAGCTGAAGGCAGATGCTTCACCGACTGAGCATTCTGGGCACTCTCACAAGAGATATTCTAAAAAATAATTACTTGGGGCACCCGGGTGACTCAGTTGGTGAAGTGTCTGACTCTTGATTTTGGCTCAGGTCACGATTTCAGGGTTGTGGGGTTGAGCCCTGCGTCAGGCATGGAGTCTGCCTGAGATTCTCTCTCCTTCCGCCCCTCCCCCCACTCACATGCTCCCTCTCTCAAATAAAATCTTTTTTAAAAAATAATTACTTGACCTAAAAAATAGCTCAACTTACAAAAAAAAAAAGTCAACCTGGTAATTCTGGGAATTCAGTGTAATCGCCGAGGGCAGTAAGACTCAGTGGGGAACGAACAGGAAAATTATACAAATTGAAAATATTTTTAAGAAACACCACATCAGAAATCAAAGAGGTCTAAAAACAAACAAAACAAAGCTACAGTAAAAAAAAAACCAAAAAACAAAAAACGAACAGTAAAGGGAGAAATGAACTGTCATATTCATTTTATGTAGACTTTTTAAACGTGGAGAAACAAATGGAACACACATTAAGATCAAGAAAATACCGTAAAGGCACTATTGCAACTTCCTGAGGACCTACAGTTATTTCAAAATCAAGAGTTGAAGAAAATGAAAAAATAGAAACACTGCTCTTCACAATCAAACCCTATTTTAAAGTGATTCTCAGGGTGAAGGGCCTTCCTGCAGTCACGGGCACGGCGGCCCGCAGCGCCCACATACTGAACACGGCCCGGGCATCGCGACCACGCCGTTGGCTCCGGCGGAGCGAGCCAGCGGTCCAGCGGCAGCAGGAAGAACAGCGAGACACCGCGATTTTTGGGGACTGGATGCAAACGTCACGTGTGGAGAGTCAAGTCTCAAGGGAAGAGTGGTGGGCACACTCGTGTGGAAGGAAGGTAACGCTGAGCGGACAGAAGCAACCAGACCCTGGGGTCCCTTACAGATGGGCAGTGGAGCTCTAGTGATGGAAGATGCTGGGGACACGTTAGAATTCCTGTTAACATGGCCCGTGTGTTAGAAACACCTGCTCTGGGTGGGGGGTGGGATCTGGTACCATCAGGACACAATCACCAGTGCTCCGTGTTTGCCAAAATCATCCACGAGCCAACGGACTGTTGTGTCGAGCTCCAGGAAGCAACACACTCCCCTCACCAATGTCCAAGCAGTGCCCGGGGCCGCAGGGGGCCGCCCGCAGGCTCTGACCCTTTCCCACCGGCCGGGACTGGCCTCTCCTACGGGGCACAGGGTCCGCTTACGCTTCTCTGAAGTGAATCCTCTTGTCGCACACATTTCCCTTCCTTGTCTCTCTTCTGAGGACGGTTAAAATAGGAGGCGGTGGAAGAGCCACGGCAGAGTGTGGCAAAGCTGGGTACACAGAGACCCAGGAGGCCGGAGCCCAGGGCCTCCAACACTGGACACTCCCTGAGCGTCTACTCCTGGGGACCACACCTGTTCGCCGGAACCAAAATTAACGCACTCCTTGACCCAAATGTCCTTGGAGCAGTTCAAAGTGAAGATGGGCACAGCTGATGGGGGGGCCCAGGACCAGCTCCCTCCCTGTGCTGGTGGGGACCATCCCACCCCTCCCATCCTGGGGGACAGCCAGCACCCCCCTCCTGACTGTCAGATGGGGACAGGTGGGTGGTGGTTGTGCCAGTGGACAGCGCTGGTAGAAGGGGCTCATCCTTATGTCCCCGAGGAGCTAGACCCTGCTGTTCTGTCACGGCCCTCTGGCCGCTGGTGCACCTGTCTTATCTCAGGCAGCAAGCACTCCTGCTCTGGGCGGTTCTACTTCCGGATCTGACCTTCCCACCAGTTTCGGGAGATCCTATGCCCATCCCCCATCAAAGACCAGCTGCTCCATCAGCTCAGAACCAGCAGGCACGAGTGTGTCTGAAAAGATGTGTCAGCCCTGGGGTGTGAAATTCCCACTGATACACTTTAGAAAAGGTGAAATGTAATTGGTACGCTGCCCTTTATCTTTAGTGACCTCTGAAATGGTTCACAATGCCACTCGAGGCTTTTTAGCAGGAAAGCCCCCGCCACACAGCAGGCCCTGAGGGCTCATCTGGTTCTGGAGTCAGCGACCGGGCGCCAGGACACCAAAGCTGTCCCTGAGCCGCCCGGAGAGGCTGTGCTGGGACGGGGAGCGCTGGTCCACCGGCAGCCATGCCTGGCCCCAGACTCCCCTGTGGGAGCTCCCACACGACCTCCCGCTCTAGAGAAATGCTGCTGGTGGGGGCTCTGAACGAGGGGCCACAGATGCGCGTCCCACGAAATGGCAGCCCATGATGTTGGCCAATGGCTTCTTGGCCCCCCATCAACATCCATGGGAAACGGTGAGGTTTTCATAAAGAGAGGAGAGTCTAGTATAAACCACCTCACCAGAAATCAGGGCTGACTTCTAGAGGAAGTTTTGGGTGGAATCATGACAGGACCAACCCCTGTCCTGAGTCAACAAATTTCAGTGTCAAGGACTGTGAATTTAGGCACCACTTTGAAGTTTGACATGAAATTAAATAATAAATGAAAAAACACTAGGAATTAAGAAAAAGCCAAATAGGATTTATATTTTAAAATTCTAGGGGCGCCTGGGTGGCTCAGTCGTTAAGCATCTGCCTTCGGCTCAGGTCATGATCCTGGGGTCCTGGGATCGAGTCCCACAACGGGCTCCCTGCTCTGCGGGAAGCCTGCTTCTCCCTCTCCCACTCCCCCTGCTTGTGTTCCCTCTCTCGCTGTGTCTCTCTCTGTCTAATAAATAAAATCTTTAAAGAAATGAAAAAAAAAAATTCTAAAGAAGTTGCTACAAGTAAAAAAAAAAAAGGTTAAAAAGACTTGGCTGATGTTTCTTTTAAAAAAAAATAACAGATGGTCTTTTGTATGGAAACAAGTTCCAACTCGTAGCTTTCCATGACCTGCAATGAATTAGAGCCCCACTTCCTACTATGCATCTGACAGAACTCTTACTCCACCGAGCGCACTGGCATACGAATGAACCCCGTCTGCACCAAACAGGAAACTGCTCTCACTCAAGCCTTATCAAGTCGCCAAAGACACAACCAACAGCATGCCCCTTGCAGGCCGGAGGCCAGCAGGAAAATGCGGGGGGCCACATTTTGGAGTGACAATATTTTGGATCTACGGAGGTCAGCTAAACATTACTAGCATGAATTTCACCAGTTTCTGTCTTTTAAAAATACTGCTTTTAGAAAACACAGAATTATGTGTGTGGCTTGTGCTCCCCTTGTACGGGGTAGTGCTGACCTCAGAGGGTGCTTGAAGCAGAAACTGTGAATAACAACCAAGGAGATGGCGATTCTGACCCTCAGTCCCGGCCGAGCCCTTGTACGTTCTGGGGCGGGCCCCACCCATCAACTGGCTCAGGACGCAGCCACCTGCACATCCAGAGCTGTGTGCAAAGGAAAGCCAGCTGCGCAAAGCACCTTTCTCCATGCTGACCCAAAGTGGATCCACTCACGGCTCTGACCTCCTCCTCACCCCATCCAATTTCCTGTCATCTCTAACGAAGCGGGAGTCATTTCCGGTGACTCGTTTTCCCCCAACAATCCAGCGTCTAGCTACAGCAGATGGCCGTGGCCACAGGGTCAGGGATGGGAATACACATCACCCAGGCCAGAGCTGCTCAGGAGGACCCGGGGTCCGGGCATCACGCCAGGGGACCATCTGAGGGCTGTGCTCTCACGCGGGCACTCCCGTAGTTGGATGTGGTTAGAACAGCTCTGTCTTCCTCCCCTGTTGGGACAAGTCCTCTGTGAACACACCCACATGACCTCCGAGTCTGTGTGTGTGGCAGAGCTGGTCTCCTACTCCTCCGGCTGCCTGCTTATGGATCCAGGGCGTCCAGGCACAGATCCTCGCCCTCCCTTCTCAACCCTACTGCAAGGAGAACAGAATGTGGGGACTGCGCTGGGGAGGGTTGGGGTGATGTGGACCTGCCTCTTGCTCTCTGGTGGCTTGAGTCTACAGACAACACCACATCATACCTACCACACCGCACCACGGCAGCACCTGGGAGGCTAAGCAAAGGGCCTGAGTGCTTGAGTGATGTCCCTCCCGGGGGGCAGAAGACCAGCGTCTCTCTGGGTCATCACTCTGGAGGGGACACTGGAAATCTCTGCAGGGCCACTGAGAGACCACGGAGGAAGTAAAGTCTCCAGGACAAATACCCCGAGGGCAGGGAAAGTCAGAAGAAGAGATTAAAGGGAAATTAGGATGGCACTGCAGAGCTGAGGACCACCAGCAAGGCAGCGGTGTTGGGAAGGCAGGGGAAAGTGGAGTCATTTCTGTATTTAGGGGCTGAGGAAGGAGCTAATGGAGGGAAGAGGAGAAAAGCAGGGTAGGCATGCTTCAGGGGCTCGGGCAACTGCACAGATCCTCAGGAGCCCAGATGCAATGCCTCCTTAGCACCATGCACCTGGGAGCACAGGAGAGTGAATGCAGGGAACAGGTTCCCTCCATACTGCCAGTTATGTGCTTGCCACTGCCTTTCACTCGTCTCTAATCGATTACTGTAAATGGTGAGAGGTGGCTTTGCACAGTAAGATTTTGATATTTTGCAACTCTAAATAGCCGTAACTTCCTACAATCGCACATACCCACACTTGCCAGGAAAACCTAAGGTTAAAATCTACTTGTCAGGCTTTATTTCCACAGCAAAAGAAAAGTTAAGCATATTAAGACTTCTGCATTTGATTTTTATTGTTAATACTATTTGCGTGCACATTTAAGGTCTTATCCTTAAACTCCACTGTGGAATGATACTGGATGAACTTGCTTTTCCAGCGTGAAATGTCAACACAAACCTTCAGCACGCTTGTAAAACAGAGATGACTTTCATTCGTAAGAAAGTCTGTAACGAAAGCCTCACTTCCTGTTTACAAAAAAGTAGTTTTCTGATAAAAGTAAAGACAAAAATATCTCATAGGTCTGACCTGTCCCCCATTTTTTGGGGGAAATAGTACCAAAAGAATTGCTAAAATCATGTGAAAAGGCAACAAATAAATGAGGAGGATGTCACATAACACTGAAGTGAAAGGAACGGAGAGGGAAGAAGAGAAAGCCACCCGAGGGCGACCATGAGATTCGCGTGCAGCGGGCCTCACCCTACAGTTGAGCAGCGTGTACAGGACGTGGTCGGGGGTGGTCTGTGCCCTCCACTGCAGGACCTCCGAGAGGAACAGGAACTGGAACAAAGCACAGCCATTAGCTTCAGGCCGTCCGAACAGACTGCGTTCACACGGACATCCTACCCTCTCAGTGCTATTAGGGCAGCTCAGAACAGTGTGCTTTCCCACAGAGGAATAAGCACATCCCTGTCAAACAAAATTGGGAGACTAAGCCAGTGCTTATGGGGTTTTTCCTGGAGGGCCTGGAAGTCCCTGCGCCTGACTTGGACGCACCAGTTGCAGGGAGGTGACGCAGTGCCTGGTCAGGGACGTCTCCCGCCATCTGCCCAGGCTGGGAGAATGGCATTCCCCTTACAGACAGAGCAGCCAACACAGAAAAGCCCTTCTCCTGGGCTCCCAGAAGAGGGTGCTTTCTGGGGCTGGAACAGCAGAATCAGATCAACCCTGTTCTTAAAACAGGCTCTCTTCTATTTGCTGTTTTCAGAAGGGTCATTGCCTGAGGTCATTCGACAGCATTGCCAAGCACACAGATCGTGTGCATCACACGGACTCGGTCTATAGCAAAAAAGAGGTCAGCGCCATCTCATGTCTGGTCATAGGAAACACCCAGGTATATCCCTCAATCTATTTTATTAATAGAAATGTACTCTGAGGTGGGCCCATGGTGATCCAGTGTTTTCAATGTATGCGATTCTACTTGTTACCAAAGTAGCAATATTTTAAATGGTTGATTTTGTGACATTTCCTGGTAGCTCACACAGACTGGGGTCATCACTTGGAGACTCATCAGAGTCCTCAAGTCTGAGTGGTTGTAACGGGGAGACAAGCCTGAGTGATGTGTACGGTGGGTGTGGCCCCAGATTTCTCCTCCAGCCCCTAAGGATGTGTTGAAGATGCCTGGTTCCCCAACCTGGGTTTTGAATTTATGTTTTCTTGTGTCCCAACAATTACAAGACTAAAGCCTTGCACCCAGGTTGCCGTGAGGCCGTCTGGGCATGAAATCAGGGCTGGTAGGAAGAGGAGAAACAAGAACCACAGAACGCCAGGACGAGATAGGCATCCCCAGACGCTGGCCCCAGGCCTCCGCTTGGGCGTCTGTGCACCCCCAACAGACACATCTTCCTTATGAGATGACACGGTACGTCTGCTGGACCAAGAGGCCAATGACACACAGGGGACCGGCAGCCAGTGACGCAGTAGCCTGTGGGCATGGGGCTTAGAGAGCAGCCCGGCCTCACGCTCACCTTGCGGGCTTGGTCGTTGTCTTCGATCTGGCCCAGGTCTCTGCCACTGGCCTGTGCGATCCTCTTCCCAGACACCAGGTTCCCCACCATCACAGAGGCAGGGCCGATTTCTGGAAAGAACACGAGGAAACAGGTGAACTGACAACAGGACCTCCCACCGTGGTGCAGCGCTCGCCCTGGAGAAACCCTTCCAAAGGCCAGGCTCTGAGAAAGTCTTATCAGAACAGGGTTTCCAAGGTGTCCCAACATGAGAACAATGGCAAACTCGACCAGGTCTCGATTACAGGTCAGAAACAAGGCTTTCGCCAAATCCCGCTGCCGCTGTTCTCCGGTTGGAGGGATGCTGGGCTCTATCCACGCTCGTGTCTGTGGGAAGTAACTCGGAAGACCGACAAGGATTAACACAGACAGACGCGCCTCACTGCCGAGCCGTCAGGGCTCCGGACCACGTGTGCCGCTGGCCGGGGTCGCAGAGGCGGCCGTCCGAGTGGCCATGGACACAAAGTACCGCTTGGGTTTTATAAATACGTCCCGTAACATTAGGAGGAGCACCGCGGAAGGCCCAGACACAGCCACTGTGCATCTCACCGACGGCACGCTCTGGGCTCTCAGCCGGGCCCACGGAGAGGCAGACGACGGAGCCAAGAGGCTCCCATTCCAAGTTCCTTGTACACCATTACGGACTCGGTTACCAGCGCTCTTTTCACAGGAGAAAGGCAGATAGAATCTACCCTGATAGCTTCCTTTTCTTTTTCAATGAAAGAAACAAGTTTCTTAAAGAACTGCAGAGACTCTTTCAAAATTTCTGACTACAAGGAACCCTAGGGGCCCTCTAGGCTTCACTCTGTTGTCACCACACACACATATACACGGATTGAAGAGGACAGGGTTCGCTGTTCTGGGAGACCGTGCCGTTGGGGGAGTGGGCGTGAGACTGGGGCAAGGAGGGGAGGCAGGGAGGGAGCGTAAAGAAGGCAGTAGAAATAACCAAGATGCCAGGAACTGCTGAGTAAAATTCTTATTAAACCTTTACCAAAGGTTGACTCACAGGTTTCAAATCGGGGCATTTGGTGCACTGTGTTATTGCACACAAAGAGCTGTCTCTCAGCAGCTCAGAAAGCTTTAGACGCGGGCTGAGGGGTGGGGCCAGCGGCCGCCAGGCCCCCCCGGGCTCCAGCACACCCTGGCAAGATGAGCAGGGGCAGGGCTGACACCCCCAGGGGACTGTCCAGGGGGAGCAGGCCCCGTTCTTCTCTGCACACACGTGGCCAGCCGGACCTGGGCGGCCATAAACTATGCAACATCACAGCGATGCAGGCGAAGGCCGGGGGCTTCCAGGCAGGGCTGAAATCTGGAGACCAGCCCAGGACGCAGATTTCCGGACCCCTGCCCACGGGCTTCTTCACGTTAGGCAGTCTCTAGGAGCCCTGATACTGGCTTCCGTGTCATCACAGAACGTGCCTTATATACTCTGCTCCATTATGTCTGAATTGCCGTGTGAACTTTCTTCTCTTAGCTCATAATAAATTCTGAAGGAGGGATAGTGTTTTCATATTTAACAAAGCGAGAAGAAAACGCGGCAGCGTGGTTCATGTGCAGTGAACGTGGCTGCCCGTGTGGACGGAGCCAGGGCTCGCCTGGGACCCCGCCAACGAGCCCTTCATTTCCTGGCTTGGGGTCTGTGGGTGAAGCGTCCTGAGGTTCTCTTTGGTGACCGAGGTGGACAGGACAGTTCTGGGAAGCCACTCTGACCCAAACTGACTTGAAGTATTCTCGGTAATTTTTTAAGAATTCACGTGAGGGTAGAAGCACTCTTCTAAGGTGCTAGCAGGTGGTCCCTCCTTCCTCGATGTTTGTCTCTGCTAGAGTTGTCTGGATGTGAAGCTCGGACCTTACATGTCTCTCCCCCACGTGGACTTAAGAATGATCTTTTTCCAAACATTGCTGGGAGACAGGTGCTTTCCTGTGGTATTATTTACAAAATCTGCTCCCCCCTACCAAGAACCGAGGGTCTCCCTGCCTTGCCGAATGAGGTGGATGGACGTGCAAGACACCCTTACACTCACTGCATCCTGATTTTGAACCCTGGAGCAGGGCTCCTCCTGGTGGATGCAGAACTCAGTGGCTGCCCCTCCCTGTTCCCCTCCTGTGGCTCCCATAGGATGTATCCCAGGGGCTCTTAACCCCCCGTGGTTTTCTCAATGTTTGTAATATTGTTGCAGGCCTGACTGATGGGTTAAAGGTCTTAAAGGTCTTTTAACATTTGTGCTTAGTTAAGAAACTCACATACACAGTCGTTAGTTGAGCAAATATGAATCCATCCAGTAAAAGAGTCAGTTAGGGTGTCTACAAATTATCTACATTTTAGGGGCTCTGTTTGAAACCTCCAGCAACACCCTCATGGAAAAATGGCCTTACTAAATGTCTGCTTTGGCTCCAAGGAGTACTTGTTCCCAGTCGTGTCTAGTCCAAGGGAGCCTTCGAAATCACCTGGTCCAACTCCCTCATTGCACTTAGGGAAACCTAAGGCTTTGGGGAAATACCACCTGTCTGAGGTCCATTACGGGTCATCAGCTGAGGGAGGAAAATGGACCAGCACCTCACAGCTGCCATGAGTATTTGTTAAAAACAGCTTTTTTCAGACAGAGAGTTATATAACTTTTCAATATTTAACAAAAACAGGACACCTAATATCATTCTTAAAAAACTGTTTCCTTAAATCAATCGCACAAAGCTTCATTCACCCTGTTGCCGCTGCAATATGCAAGCAGGCCCGCCCTCCCGGCGCATCCGTCTGTGCTTGCTCAAAGGAACAAGGCTGTCCTCGGGCGCCCTGATGCTGCCCTCCGAGCAGAGTGCCTGGGCCTTTTCACTCAGCCCGGTTCTTCTTGTTGAGGATTCCTGACATCTGGCAGGTACACTGAGCCTGGCAGCCCTGGAATCGTATCATGCGTTTGCCAATGAGCCCCCACCGTAAATATGTGTCCTGAATTCACAAACTGTGACCCACAGGATTCACGTGAGCTTCTCTGCTCCTGGGACCACTGGTGGTCAGGCCCCAGGGCCGCAGTGTATGATGGTGAGTGGAGGTGATCAGGGGATGGGGAGAGGGCAGTCACCTCTGATTGTGCATAAGGACACCCTGAGGAGCCACCATGATCCATTCCATGCGGACGCACACACACCCAGATGGAGCGACTGCTCTCCCCTTCCCATGGCTGTTTATGCCCCAAAATAACGGGAGACCGAAGACGTGACTCTTCATCCTTTCGATATGCCTGCAGAAGGACAATGCTTTGTGTTTTGTGGGGGGCTCGCCACTGAATTTAAAGAAATGGACACTTGGTCAGCTGTAACTTTACAGTGTCCTGCAAGCATATAAACCAACGACTGAGAAGAAAGAGAAAAAGGGAAGGTATTAGTTACGGGAATCTGGAATGTAAGGAAACCAGGGACAGCACAGAAATCGGATTAAAACCACAGTGCTAATGTGCCCAGAAAGCAGACAGTGACTGTAGTGTGTCCCGGAGAATCCACTCCTCACGGGAGGAGAGAACAAAATGCTGCCCCATCTAGTTACCACGTGACTGTCTGCATCACAGGGAGTCACAGCAAGGGATGTAGGCCGACACCTGCTCAACGCGAGGGGTGACTTTCCTCCCGTAGCATCAGCATCCTCACCTCAACCACACAGGACCAGCCACCCTCTCCTCCAATCTCACTTACGGGGCGTGGGCCTCAGTCCCTGCATTTACCACCAAGTGGGCTGAGCCCGTGGTGACCCAACCTCCTCTAGCTGACTCCATAAACTCTGCCCCGCAGCCACGCTGAGCTGGGTGGGACACACGGCTGCTGGGTCAATCCCTGAACCTGTCGCATGTGAAATGGGGACAGAAGAGTGCCCACCACACAGCCTCCGTGAGAAGAGAGGAGTTCATATGTACAACACAGGCAAACCGTGGTTGTGCCAGGAGCTCCCGCTACTGTTCTAGAACACAGCCTGAGTGTGCGCCCCTGCTGCCCGCACCCAGCCACCCCTGCGCACCCCCACCACCCCCACGCACTCCCCCCCCCGGGACACCCTGGGATTCCCCATCAGCGCGCTGCCAGAAGAGCTGCGTCTTCACCTTCCACAGTCTTGTGATCAATTCCTTTTCACTGTTAAGTGTGTGCAACCCTGAGAAGCACGATCGATTAGTTGCTAGGAAGAAAAATCAGATAATGGATAATGACATATCCCCAAACCACAAGGTGCTAGACACACATTCGCTCTTAGAACAATGTCACACATACATTTGTAGAATTCCTCACATGCTCCAAGCAGCTTTCCCACACCTTAGCTGCTCCGACTCCTAAATCAGCCACGTGAAACAGGTGTCATTCTAATGTTTGCGCAAGTAAACCGAGGCTGCGAGGTTCTGTGCCTGGAAGAAGGCCCCCCGGCCAGACCAAGGGTTGGTGCTCCCACCGGGGAGGCGGGGGCTCCTTCCCGATGTTCCCCACCTGCCTGGCTCCCCGCACACAGCGCAGTCCCAGCAGAGCCTTGCACTGCACCCTCTGGCGGGGCAGGGTCACGCCCTGGGAGCGTGCAGACCAGGAAAGGAAGAGGGCTGAACACCCCGGACAGGCATAGCGCCTGCTCGCATGGCGCCCACAGCACCCAGTTCCCGAGAGCCACTCAGCCTCCGGCCCACGAGTCCTACCTGGTTGCTTCTGTCGAGGTTTAGGCAAGTTTGTGACACAGGTATGGGGGCACATCAGGACGTTGCAGGGGTGAAGTGAGCCCTCCAGGAAGAGCTGCTTCGTTTCTGACAAGTGGATCCCACCGAGTGGGGTTTTGGGGAGGGTGTTTGCTGGAACCAAGGCTAGGCAATAAACCCCGACTTGATGTATGCTGTCAATCGCCTGGAAAGTCACGGGAGAGGGAACCACGTCAGGACAGGTGTTACAGATGGACACGAAGCAAATGTCCCGACTGAGTAGAGTACAGTCTATAACACGCGAGTGGGGTGCAGATGCCAAGAGAAGGCTCTCTCTCCAAACCCAGCCAAACTGAATAATCTTATGTGGGATTTGTGGAATACCACACACACACTAGGAAAGGAAATTTGGAGCAAGAAAATACACTCTCAAGATCAGAAGAAAAACCATTACTTGTGACATCTCCAAGTAAATAGGGGGAGCCAGTTTCGCAGACCCCGATCCCTAACCTTGGTCTGCTTAGTTACTGTCCAAGCATGCAATGATAAGTTTCCCAGTTGATACAATTTCTGATCCAGTGGGGTGACGGTCAGGGAGCAGGAAAGCACAGTTGTTGAGGGCCGGCCACATCCTAACGGATGGTTAAGGGAAGCTGGCACGAAAGGAGGAGTGGGACTCCCGGGCAGGTGAAGAGCTACCTGGAGCACCCTGCTCATCCACTGGAAGCTGTCCTCCTCCGTGGAGTCCGGCCTCTGCTCGGCCACAATCACGATCCTCTCGTCATGCAGGACGGTCACCGAGAACACGGCTATCCTGTGGGGACAGGAAGGGTACAGCGCAGTGGGCACACGCTGCAGATTGCCGGGAAGTATCGTTCTGCAATCAGGAGCTTATAGCCACTGCTCCGGAATGGGAACCGGGCGAGAAGCAGCCCAGCATCTCCCGCCGGGGCTGCCTGCAGCTGATGGTGCCCACGCCGCAGGGTGGGCAGGGAAACCAGGCCTGCTGAGATCCAGGAAGCCCTACAACCCCCATCTTGAGTTTGCACCTGCGAGGTCGTATTCTCCACATCGGTAGGGACGTTCTGTTTGGGACAAGTGGGTTTCTGCCGGACGAGCCTGTCTCTCTCGGTAAAGGCGGCATCGTGGGGTTTGGACCCCCATGCCCCTCCTCACACAGAGGCTGCATCTCAACGTGAGTTCTGTCTGTAACACCCAAGTGTCTACTGCTTCTCCGCGCATCAGTCTGACAAGCTGAAATAAGACTCTAAACAGTTCATGACTTCCTTCAAACTAAGCCAAAAACTCAGGAGCTAGCATCACTGATTTAATATGTACTGTGCAAGCGGGCAAGGGAGGGGTGCGTCAGGGAGGGGATGCCGCAGGACTCCGTTTTCCCGCACAATCTGTTGCTCGACTGTTATCTTTCTGTCTTTTGAGATGATCTGCACCAAGATGAATATTTGGCTCTTTCCTTTGTGTATTTACTTTAAAAATAAGCTTTTTAAATAAATATTTTTACTTAACATAGAGGGGAAGTCATGAAAACAAAACATACGTATGGAGCTCAGGAAATTTCTATAGAACTGGACATTCAGAACTAGTTAGAATATCAGAGGTCACGGAGTCCCACCAGCTTAAGGAATTTGTGCAATTGTATATAAAAAGCGCGGTGTGCAAACCACCGAGTGCTGAATTCACAGACGGCACACCCACCTTCCTCTGTAGACGAATTTCATGGGCTCCACGGCCAGTGCCGTGGCAACGATATCATCCGCGTTGTGTCTGCGTCCACTGACCACCATGAGCCCGTCCATCTTGCCCACCACGAAGACGAGCCCCCCAGGGCCGACGAAGCCCAGCAGGCCTGTCCTTACGAAGGGGTACTCACTGACAGGGGCCCCCGAGCTCGTCACGGGAAATACCTGCAGACACACGAGCTGTGAGTGCCGGGGGGTGGTGCTCAGCCCACCTTCACCCTCCCCTGGAGCCGACCGGACCACGTTAGTCTAGCAGCGTCTCCTCGCGGAAGGCACTGCCCCTGTCCCCCGCCCCCCAACTTCTGTCCCCCACTGCCCACATGCAGGGCTGCCCGCCGGTTTCCTTCCAGGGCTTCTGAACCTAAGAAGTGATACCAGAGATCATTATGATAGCCTAATGAACACTAATTAATTCTCCTGTTTTAGATCCACAGCATCAAAGTGATAAATGGAAAACCGAACACGTGTATCAGTTGAAAATGATCCCTGTTCATCAATGTTTCCCTATCAGGATGACACCAGGAAGGAAACACACAAAGGAAGCAAATCTCGGCGCCCCGAGCCTGTACCCGGTCCTCAGACCCTGCAGGTAAGTCACACAGAAGGGGAGATGGGCTTCATGCAGACTCTGTCTAACTGGGCTTCAGGGACATTTTAGAAACTTGAATCCACACTCAGCAAAGGCGCCTGCACAAGACACCCCATTACATCATGTTCTAAACTGTAAGAGACGAATCCCCAAACGACCTTCATTTCTCATGCGTGATGTAATCCACGTGTGCTCCTCCTAAGGTAAGGCACCATGTGGGCAGGTGAGGTGTCAACTCCAGGAGCATGGCGGTGCGGCGCGGAGCTCCCTGCGGAACCGCGCGTGTGCGAGGCCGCTGCGGGCACTAAGCGCAGGCCACACACGCATGTGGGCACTTCGCACACACACCAGCTCCTGCTCTGTGCATCTGTTCACACCTGCCAAGTCCGGCCTCAGTGGGCAGGCCACAGGGGGCCCCAGTGAGGCCAAGACAGGTGTGCTCGGCCTCCGTCCCTCGGCCTCTCGACTGAGAACAGCAACGTATAAAACACGGCCCCTTTTAAAGAAACGATTCTTGCCCTTTTCCCACACAGCTCCGACAAGCCGAATTTACTGAAAATTATACAACTGGCAGCAAAAAGTGCTACCACTTCAGTTACAATGAATATGTGTTATCGAGATACTGCCACCTTCTCTTTACGTCTGCACACCTGTGAGGGCCACCTGCAGAGCACACCTGGAGGGAGCGCGCCTCTCAAACCTACCTCGAAGGTGTTCTTGGTCATGCCCGAGAGGCCGTAATAGGACGTGCCCGTTGCAATGGCACACACACAGAGCTCCCCGATTTCATCTGTTCGACAAAGTTGAGGGATGCCATCCGGCTTCACCGAACACATGATGGCTGGAAGCAAAACAGGACACACGGGTCATGTTAGAGAGAGGGACAGACGGTGAGGGCGACAGAGGGATGGGGGGTGAGGGCGACAAACAGAGGGACGGAGGGAGAGGGAGACAGACAGACAGAGGGACGGAGGGAGGGGGAGGCAGACAGACAGAGGGACGGAGGGAGGGGGAGGCAGACAGACAGAGGGGTGGACGGTGAGGGCGACAGACAGAGGGACGGAGGGAGAGGGAGACAGACAGACAGAGGGACGGAGGGAGGGGGAGGCAGACAGAAAGAGGGACGGAGGGAGGGGGAGGCAGACAGAGGGGTGGACGGTGAGGGCGACAGACAGAGGGACGGAGGGAGAGGGAGACAGACAGACAGAGGGACGGAGGGAGGGGGAGGCAGACAGACAGAGGGACGGAGGGAGGGGGAGGCAGACAGACAGAGGGATGGACGGTGAGGGAGACAGACAGAGGGACGGGGGGACAGAGACACAGAGAGACAGGGATGGACAGGGGGACAAGGAATAAACGACCAAGTAGGAGTGAGAGCAGGTGAACAGGAAACAGCATCTGGAACACAACTGCGAATATACAAGTGGGCCGGGTACTCATTTTCCCTGAAGTGAGTCACGGATTTTCATGTTATAGGAAAATGTCCAGTTCCATTGTTGTGACGTCAGTGAATAACTGACGTGTGGATCGTATTTTTTTTTTTTAAAGATTTTTATTTATTTATTTATTTATTTATTTATTTATTTATTTATTTATTTGAGAGAGAGAGTGAGTGAGAGAGAGAGCGCAAAGGGGGTAGGGTTAGAGGGAGAAGCAGACTCTCCGCCGAGCAGGGAGCCCGATGAGGGACTCGATCCCGGGACTCCGGGATCATGACCTGAGCCGAAGGCAGTCGCTTAACCAACTGAGCCACCCAGGCGCCCATGTGTGGATCGTATTTAAGGGGAGTGACCTCTGCCATCCAGACTGAGGAGGACACATGGAGGAAGCCCAGGGTCCCGGCCGCCTGAGTGCTTTGGTACTGCACAACCCCATGCTCCCGCCACAGACCTCAAGTCCGTGCAAGAGCCGGAGCCAGGGTTTCGGGAGGTGGGGTGTGCAGCCAGCGATGGCTGGCCGTGCCCTGACCACAGCACATGTGCACATTTGTGGAGAAGGTCCATGACTTTTAAGAACAGACTCTTCTGCTGCAAGTGAGCACTGCTGGTCATCCAGAGCCCCATGGATGGGTTTTTATGCTGTCTGCAGCCAGACTGGGTGCCCAGCCTTCTCCAGCGTGCCAGGATGGCCGGTGGGTAGCAGACCCTTGCAGGGGGAGGACCATCTCAGGGGCTGCAGGGGTGCAGCGGGGCCCACAACGCCCCTGGGGAGGGGGACTCTGGAGTCCCAGCATGAGAGGGGGCAGAGACGCCCATGGAGGCTTCCTGAATGTTGTCACCAGGAGGGGTAGCATTACCACAAAGCTTTAAAGATGCACAGCGGAATTTAAGCGCCCTGTCTGTGTTCATGCCAGAGGGGCACGGGGGTGCCGGGCGGGAAGGCATGCGCTAACGGACCAGCCCACTGGCCACAGCTGGGGTTTCCACCTCGATGCCCCATGCCGCCTGCAGCCTGGGGCCCACACTCACCGCCAGGCATCACGAGGCCGACGTCCTGCACGGTGAGCACAGACAGCTTTTCCTCCGAGTCCACCCGGATGACGCCGTAGGTCAGCCCGTGCATGGATAGGACGCCCCGGCCCGGGGGCTGGTTGCTGTCATCCGTAGGCCTGAAAGAGCAGTTTTGTCTGAACACGCAGAAGCAAACAGGCTGCCTGGCCAGAGAGCCACCCAAGGGCACACACCCAAGGCAGCCAGCCATGTTGGGGTCCCACGGACCCCCAAACGCAGACCTGCATGCCACATGGCCCTGTGCTCTAGCTCGCCGGGGAATGCTTCTGCTCTGTCCACAAGATGTCCGTGTCACTAACTCTACCTCCAGGCTTCCAGAATAGTTTAAAAACACCTTAGGAGTGTGAAGACCTCCAGTCAGTAGACTGACTGATTCCTTTTCTGCCCATCTCTCTCTGGGTCACATTTTCCAGTGTGGCGAGTGGATAATGGGGAGAACAAGGTCTCCACGAAAAGATAAGAGAACAAGGTCTCCAAGAAGAGATTCTGCAGGGAGCAGAATCGGTGAAGATTCTGCTGGTCCCGCCTTGAGTCGGATGTGCCCTGTGCGGACGCACACCGTGGGTTAAGAATCTGAAAGGAGAGTCATGTGACGCTGTGCTGGATGACAAGCTCTTAGGGAAGGTTTTGGCTGAGAGGTGTTCTGTAGGATGCTGTAGGGTCCAGGGAAGAAGTACAATTTCACTGCCTCTGTCTCCTCCATGGCCCGTGAGCCCCACGCCTCCCGCTCACTCCGCGCTGCCCCCTGCCGTCTCTCCAGGACCCAGCCCTCTCCCTCCTGGGGCTTTCTGCACCTGCTCCTGCCTCTCTACCTGCAATGTTCTTGTAGCAGCCATCCCCCTTGGCTTCCTCCCTCACTGCCCTCTGGGGCAGCTCACATGTGCAAGGACTCATCACCCCATAAAACAGCACACCCCCAACTCCTGTCTGCACAGCAGGTGCCTCGTCCATCAGTCTCAGCTTCCTGAGGGCAAGTGGGTTTCCCTCTGTTCACTGCTGCATCCTTTCCCCTGGAGAGGTAGTCTGTCGACTACTGAACAGATGAAATCTTTCCAAGATCATGGATTCTATCCCTGTAGCTAAAGACCCTTGCATGTGAGCTAGGAGCTAAGTGAGAGCACGATTTAGGTGAATACCACACTTGTTCCTGTAATTTTCTATACACACATGTGTAGTGTTGCTTTAGGATCTAAAAGTTGGAGGATAAACAGAACTTTGCTGCTTGGTTTTAAAATAGTATCAAGATTTAAAAACCTAAAAGCATAAATAGGGAAACATAAAAGTTAAAATGTGCAGAAGGAGGTCTCATTTGAATCAAGTAACTGGTGTGTTTAAAAAAGAAGCCTATGCTATATGTCAATTATATCTCAAATAAAAACTAAAAATAAATAATAATAAAAAGGAAGCATAAGAGAGTCTGGAAATTGAATTGTTCCATCTGCTAAAAAACAAAAAGGTAGAACTAACCAGACACAAGAAAACTCTGCCCAAGTTAGAAGGTCCATGTGGAGCTACCTGGAAAGAGCCCCGAACACCGGAACCTAAGTTGCTCTCTAAAGCAAAAGGAGGAGGCCCACGGGAACCCTGTGCCACTGGGACTCTCGACCCTGTGCTTCTGTCCTCGGCAAAACGCAACGTGACAATCAGGAGTCAGAAGGATTGGTCCCCGCTGTGGGTTGTGTCTCCAAAACCTATGACCTCAACTGTGACCTTATTAGTGTGAAAGAGAGTCTTTGCAGAGATTGTTGGTTGAGATGAGGTCCTACTGGTTGGAGTGGGACAGACCCCAATCCAATGACCGGTGTCCTTATGAGAGGAGGAGACACAGATGGTGTGTGACACAGTGGTCATGTGGCGCTGCGTCTCCAGCCACGGAGCCACGGACGGGGCACCAGCAGTGGGAGGGCCTGGAGCAGACGCTCGGCCAGAGCCTCTGGGAGCACCTGCTCTGCAGACACCCCGAGACCCGAGACAACAGCTTCCCCACTTCCATGCCCCCCAGCCCGAGGCACTTATGACAGCCCCGGGACACAGACACACCAAGCAACAGGGTTCAAAGGTGCACGTCATTTTTTGTGGAAAGGTGCACACATGGGCTGAACACATGGGCTGTACGCACGGGGTGCACACACGGGGTGCACACATGGGCTGAACGCACAGGCTGTACGCATGGGGTGCACGCATGGGGTGCACACACGGGGTGCACATGTGGGCTGAACACACAGGTTGTATGCACGGGGCGCACGCACGGGGCGCATGCCTGGAGTGCACACATGGGGTGCACACATGGGCTGAATGCACGGGCTGTACACACGGAGTGCACACACGGGGTGTATGCATGGGCTGCACGCATGGGGTGCATGCATGGGCATCAAAGTGCCTCCCGGAACTCTGCCTCCCTGGGAAAGACACTTCTAAGCTGTGGGGCCATCAGTGTGTCTGAGCAAGGGGCCGCCTTTCTGCCTTTGACCAGTGAGGTCCTCCTTTGTGGATGAAGGGCGTCCCCTGAAAGGGGAGCAGCCCTGCTGCACTGCCATCCATGACTTAAGTCTTTCTATAGATGAACGTGAGCTCGGTTACTGCAGCCACCGCCCCGTAGGGGTACGTGCACAAAAATGTCCTTTGAAGGGTGCAGAGCTGCGGCCGCTGCGTGCTTATTTTAACAGAAATAACATTTTCAGGGGAACACTCCGGCAATGAGGATTTCAGGAGAAATCTGGTCAAATTGTGATTACGTGCATCCCCCTTCATTGCTCAGTGTGATAGAGCCTCTCAAAAACACAATGGATGCCCACACTGAAGGCTCAGTGACAGGGAAAGATACAAGATCGACACAGCACACCTTTAAGTGATCAGTTATTTTAGTGTGATTCCTTCCCCTTTCTCTGGTAAGAGCAATATCTGCTTATTAAAAAACATACCTGCTTTAAGAGCTCTATAATGTAAAAAGGGGACATTGTCCCCGACGCTATCTCACCTACCCGCTGCACTATGTAGTTTCCAGGTTTTTTTCTTGTTAAAGAGACTGTCTAGAGATACTTAATCTTTTTCAGCCAGGAAAACGGATCATACCACACAAACCGTCTACAAGCTTTGTTTCCCACCTGCCCTAGCTACTTTGCCGCGTCTTCGGGCAGGCGCTCAGCGGTGCATGGGCGGGGAAGCATCACCTGCTGTCTGCGTGTGGTACGCACACCTCCACCAGAGCACCACCAAACACAAAACAGAGCAGAATGCACTCCTGCACGTGAGCGGTCCGGACAACTTGCACAAGGTAACTCAAGTCACTTGGCTCTTTGACGCTACTGAATTAAGCCATATTTCCATTTAGGGATGGTGAGGCTCATCTGCCAACTCTTTCACTCTCAGAGGACTTTTAAAATTTTATCTGAATTTAAAAATTCCAGATTAAAATCACCGACAATGCATTTTATCTTGTGTTAAAACATAAGATTATGGATCTCCACGGCTGACTTTTTTTGGGCAGTCAAAATCATTCCTGAAAACCCCACTTCAATTCACAGGCTTGTTAGCTATTTTTACTCTGGGTCACTGGCTGGGGAACCTTGGGCAGAACGGTCTGAGTCTGACTCCGGCCCTGGACGGGCATCTGGCCGCATGGGCCCCTCCCTCCGGTCTTCCCAGCTCTCTAATTTCCAGGGGGGACATTTTCAACATGCAAAATGATTCTGGTGGCAAAGGGGCATCTTTATCCTCCTCTGGAATTGCTGCTTTAAATACTGCTTTACATCATTACTATCCTTTGAAATAATACCTTGTGGTTAAAGAGCCCACAGAATATTTTTTTAGTTGAATCAACATTACCAAAACATAGCTTTAAAAAGTGGGTTCTACCCTCCTACACTGTTGGTGGGAATGCAAACTGGTGCAGCCACTCTGGAAAACTGTATGGAGGTTCCTCAAAAAGTTGAAAATAGAGCTACCATATGATCCAGCAATTGCACTACTGGGTATTTACCCCAAAGATACAAAAGTAGGGATCCGAAGGGGTACGTGCACCCCGATGTTTATAGCAGCAATGTCCACAATAGCCAAACTGTGGAAAGAGCCAAGATGTCCATCGACAGATGAATGGATAAAGAAGATGTGGTATATATATATACAATGGAATATTATGCAGCCATCAAAAGGAATGAGATCTTGCCATTTGCAACGACGTGGATGGAACTGGAGGGTATTATGTTGAGTGAAATAAGTCAAACAGAGAAAGACATGTATCATATGATCTCACTGATATGAGGAATTCTTAATCGCAGGAAACAAACTGAGTGTTGTTGGAGTGGGGGGTGGGGTGGGAGGGATGGGGGGACTGGGTGATGGACACTGGGGAGTGTATGTGCTCTGGTGAACGCTGTGAATTGTGCAAGACTGTTGAATCTCAGATCTGTACCTCTGAAACAAATAATGCAATATATGTTAAGAAAAAAAAAAAAAGAAGAAGAAGAAGAAGAAGGTAGCGGGAGGGGAAGAATGAAGCGGGGGAAATCGGAGGAGCAGACGAACCATGAGAGACGATGGACTCTGAAAAACAAACAGGGTTCTAGAGGGGAGGGGGGTGGGAGGATGGGTTAGCCTGGTGGTGGGTATTTAGGAGGGCACATTCTGCATGGAGCACTGGGTGTTGTGCACAAACAATGAATCATGGAACACTTCATCTAAAACTAATGTTGTAATGTAAGGGGATTAACATAAGAATAAAAAAAAAAAAAAAAGTGGGTTCTATCCTCTGTATTCCAGACACAGAAGCAGAACCAGACAGCCATCCCAGAGATACACAGGACCAGAAAATAATTTGCTGGTTTTCATTTCACAATTTGCCCTTTTAAAATAATTCTACAGATGAGTTTACACATCATAAAGTCATATTTCTCCAATATTTTGAATTTTACAACTAATCCTCAAAGAAGGAAACACAAACATATACCTGCATGATGACAGTTTTAAAAAGAAAGACATTAAATACTGTGGCAAACATGTGGTTGGACAGGAAGCCAGGGCACTGGCTACTGTCCCCAGACCACGGCCAGAGTCCTACGGCTGGCTCTCGGGACCAGCTCTGCACCCCGCCTGTTTCAGG